CTGTAGCAAATGAGAGAGGGGGTGTGGTTGGAGGTGTGGTTGGAGTTGTGCCCCTATCATTTTCCTTTTTTATTACATGATAATCGAATAGTACTGTTAATTACTGTAAACGTAGCATAGTCGCATTAACGGTAATTTGTGAAATGTTTGGAGCTGTGTTAGATCAAACGTTTGCTATTATTTTGATAATATTTTAGAGAGTGGTGTTAGGGGCACACCACCCACCACAACCCCAACCACACTCCCCCCTCTCATTGCTACAGTAAACCAGGCCCCACATGGGATTTTAAAAAATTTAAAATCTCATGTGGGGCCCGGTTTACTGTAGCAATGAGAGGGGGGAGTGTGGTTGAGGTTGTGGTGGGTGGTGTGCCTCTAACATTATTTTATTTTAGATTGACGGTTTTGAGGTTAGTTTTCATGACCCATGGATTTAATTCAAGCGTATGAGACATAATGAGCATACTAATGATTTCCTTGCATCATGTGAACTATTTTTTACAATTATATTTGCATGTATATCTGTATCCTTATGCGATTTTGGAGGATATGGGTATGAGTTTTTTCCCCTTTTAGAGGCTTACTCGTATCTGTATTTGTGACCGGTAAACAGATGTAAATATGATAAACATCATCTCCGATTAGTTTGCACATCTACATGCAACATGTATGGTTGTTTTGCAATATCACTAAAGAATCAACTAACCCTCTAATTGATGAAATTAAAATATTTAGCCATAAATTTTTTCCATGATATTCTTTAAGACGTAAGATTTCCCTCTTCTCTACACAAATTCTAGACAATTACGACTCAGTCAAGGAAAAAACTAATACAATCGTGAATTCAGTCTAATCACAAACCATACTTTTCTAAAATAATCAAATCTGAACCCTAATTAAACTGCGCTACTTTGTTTGCATCCAGATACAATCATGCATCTTCAATTTCATCGAACAAATAATTTCCTTGAGCAGATGTAGTTGTATCTTTGGGACCAAGTTATATCACATAATTGGGAACATTAGGCTCCAACTTGTCAACTCATCAACAACCTTTCTATCTTTTTATATGAGAGACATTAATTATCTTGCCCTATGCTCACGAAAATCCTCGTCTTAATTTCAAGCCTTAAATCCGTTACTAACCACTACTCGACGTCCAGATTTCGTGCAAGTCTCAAATTGCAGTTCTAGCTAAGGACGAGTAGGTCACAAGTTTTTGTCACAGGGACTACAGACAAGAAATTGTTGTAGATGAAGTTAAAGATACGTGAGGTTTGACTTTTGTCTACGCAAGCGCGGTTGCATCTTGAAGGATATATATAAGGGTGGCACTACAGGCACACCACCAACCACAACTTGGGACACACCCCTCTCTCAGCTACAGTGCACAGGGCCCACATGAAATTTTTAAAAAAATTTCATGTGGGCCCCGTGCACTGTAGCTGAGGGAGGGGAGTGTGCCCCAAGATGTAGTTGGTGGTGTGCCTATACCATTTCTGTATATATAAATTAAATATCAGTTTTATTCCACGTTTTGGTCTATAAAAGGGTGTTCAACCTATGAAGATACCCCTCAATTTTCACAACTCCATATATATATAGTTTCAATTTTGCGATATAGGAACCTTTAGTTGCCAGATTTGAACCCTCACTAAACTAATTGGGGGTTTACAACCTTCTAAATAATCGTGGTTGACAACCCCGACTATTTAGGAACCGGATTAAGATAAAATTGGTCTATTTTTGTAAATAAAACTCAAGAGGGCCTAATTTTTTAGGGAAAAAAATATGAAGGGGTTTATTTAGAAAAATTGTTCATAATACACCTTCAATTTTTAAAGCAAATCAAATAATTTTATGTAGTTAATTAATTATATCTTTGTAGGACCAAGCGTTTCACTTAAACGGGAACATTAGAATCCTCAACTTGTCAAACTTATTTAACAACGCCTCCCTCTCTCTCTCTCTCTCTCTCTCTCTCTCTGGGACGCATTATATATCTTGCCCTGTACAACTCATGATTAATCCTTGTCTCTTAAGCCTTAATCCGTTACTAAAAACTAAACATTAATTTCGTGCAAGGATCAAATTGCAGTTCAAAAGACGAGTGCGTTACAAGGTTAATTTTGTCACAAGGAGTAAAGACAATCCATGTGTGTGCTTACACCAAATGCGGACCCGGGTCAAACCAAACCCAAGTCTCTCTCTCTCTCTCTCTCTCTCTCTCATGTGCTGTCGATCCCCAGGCTGGGTCATTTTTGCTACTGTTGGATAAGGTATTTTTCACTGTCACTGCAGTATGTTTGTCATTGACTAGTGAATTCAGCGAATATTTACACCAGTTCTGTTGAGTCTGGACTACTCAAACTCCGAGTTAGATCCGGATTTAATGGTCAGGCCCGGTTTCAGTAGGCTTCTTGATGATCGAGTTAGAAATGTCTATAAAACGGTACCTTAACTTAGGACTTTTAGTATAGAGAGATACGATATTTTTTTGTAATCAGGGTTCAACAGAAGGTGTAACCGAATTTAAGGGTACCGTGAGAGAAGTGTTTCACAGTTTTTACTCGTGCAAAATATTATAATTTAGAGGTGGTAGTGGATTGTTTTTTATTCCCGTAGCTTTATTTTTTATTGAGAGTTAATTTTTCACGTCAATAATTTTGTGTGAGATTCTATTTGCTGTGTTTTAGAGTCCTTAATAGACCTAATTAAAATCCCAACATTTTCAAATTTGTACATGTTCAATCATTCGATCTACTAGGTACGATCGATACAATAGATGGTGACCATTGAATATTTTCTTCAGATAAAAAAGCCCAATTCTAGTGAGTAAATAGGAGTGACATATTTCTCAGGACACCTAGTTATTTTCGTTGTTGACGTGACGCACGTTCAAAATTTGTAGCCCACTAACGCATGTTCGTACGCCAGATCACGAGGACACCAGCCAGCTGCATGACCCAAAGCGACCCATTTTTATGTACTTAAATAAATTTAATCCCAAATTAAGGACAAACTGATCACGGTTTAATCTCCACTTCGAACCCTGAGAAAGAAAAAAAAAGAAGAGATAATAGGGATTCGGATCCTCTTCACTACAAAAAAAAAATAGTGGAGGGACCACTACATAATCATAGTCATTGATTATCTAGCTGATGGTTATGATTTTTTCTTTTAGTGCAAATTAGGAATGAGTGCAATACACATGGGTATGGTAAGGATTAGATTTAGATTGTACCATAACCGCCTACTAAATAATCAACGCTTAAGATTAAAAGTAGTGATCTCTCCATTACTTTTTTATAGTGGAGAGGATCCAAATCCAGATAATAGTCCCCCAAAATTAGTCCACTGACTCCCCCACCCCCTCTCTATAAATACCAAGCCGCCCGCAGCTCAACTACAACTAACAAGCTCGATCTCTTCTCCGCTTCGAACTTAATTCCGTTATTTATCACTTCTGTAATAATAATAATATCGATCATGGATCAGCTGTGTATGGATGAGAAGTGGAAGCTCTCAAAGAAAGCGAGCAGAAGCAAGAGATCATCGTCAAGCATGGTGATGGCGGCGAGCAGGAAGGGGAGGAGGATGACATCCCAGAGGTCTTTTACGAGGAGGTGTGCTTCGTTGGTGAAGGAGCAGAGAGCCAAGTTCTACATCGTTCGGCGCTGCGTTACGATGCTCCTTTGTTGGAGGGAGTATCCATAGATTTAATTTGATTCATTAATATTGTGAGTTTTTTTTTTTTTTTGGCCCCCTTCCTTTTTTCTGAGATGGGTTTTGGTTGCCGTCCAAGATTGGAGAGGAGGAACTAACCGAGAATTTGCGGGGTTTTTTTTTTTGTGGGTTGGTAGTGTGTATATGGCGATATATATGTGGTGGTGGCTTTGGGTATTTATTTTTGGGTGCAGTTGAAATGGAAGTGAATGAGCAAGGCACCTTGGCCTTCATGTAGAAATTAAGAGTACTCTGCTTTTGATTTAGAATTCTCTCAAGCGGGTAGATAATAAAAATTATTTATAACTTATATCGAATGAAAAAAAAAATTTGATGTATTTATCGTGGCAATTATATTTGAAACGAGAGGATCCAAATTCAGTGGACTCTATTTCTTTTACGAGGAATTTGGAGTTGCGAGAGACGCGGTTATAAAACCCAACGTAATTTGAGTGGCTCTGATCATATATGATGTTATGAATCAAAATTTTGGATTAAATGTGAAAATCAAATTAATATGATCGAAGAAGTTAGTTTACTTTTAAGGGCGCAAGGAATCGAGGAATGTGGTGATTTTGCAGGGATGAGTGAATTCTAATTTCATCGGCTACGAATTTTGGATAGGTCCGTGTGGAGAGTCGCTGAAGAGGACAAAAGATGTCCGTTTCAAATGTAGAAGCCAACAGTAGGGGAGACTGATTTAGGGCTTAAATTATTGTGGTGAGGACAAAATTGAGTTAATGACTCCCAACCACTGCGTTTAGGTTTTTATTATTATCATGCCTCCAAACATGTTGTCTGAGGCTTTGAGCATCAGGAGTCTGGGGGGGTAGGGAGATTGGATTGAAAGCGACGAAATTGCTTTCAAAGTCCTGATCTCGTTTTGAGAGATTTTTTGTGCTTATCAGAAAACTGAAACTGAGCGAGTATTAATCTAATTTTCCGAAGACCGATTTTAATGGTTATCGACTTGAAGAAAATTTGGCCGTTACAATACTCCAAAATAGAAAAGAGTGCGAATTAGCCCTACAGTTCCTCTCCTAATCGTATTTTCTCGGAGTAATTCAATACTCCAAAATAGAAAAAGAGCGTGAATCAATCTCTGTTTGTATAAAAGTAACATACTGAATTGATACTGCAGGTATTTTCCACATTTAATTTAAAAAATGGAATAAGCAAACTCTCGTTATGTACCGAGTGAAAACTGTTGCTACCGTCACTACGGAGCACCAGATAACGCAGTAAATAAAATTAGAACACTTCAATTTCAGAAATGCTCTTAGGGACCCCAATTATAATTACTCCCACCAACTGAAAACTGATACATCTCCCTTTTACAGATTATATATTGTCTACACTTTACATTACACAAACACCTAGAGAAAGCCTAACATAATGATGCGAAGAAAACTGCACTTTCTCGACTCTCTTTATAACGTCTAAGAACCACATTACAAAACCGCAACTCAGACGAAGTACAACTACAACACAGCAAATAGATTATTACCTACCCTTTGGATACAAACTTACCTTCTACGTCTCGGAAATTTACACGGTGGGTAGATGGAAACAGAGTAACTCCCCACTTTGTGCTTGTATGGTAAACTTTTTTTTTTCTTCTCTTTTTTTTTCCTTTTGTATATGCAGATGGGTGACTAGTTAGATGAACTGCAGAGTAAATTTTCCCACTGCTGGATCAATTACCTTGGCGTCGCGGGAAATGTTAGGTCATAAGAAGTCCTGAAACGGACACCAGAACCGTTATGTCTTGTTATGGGGCAAAGCCAACAGAATATGTTTGGACCGAGAACCTGCAGGTAGAATATATTTAGAAAGTAGTATTTAGAATAACTGGGAAATAAAATGGAAACTGTAAAGGCTACACAATAGCACTTCAAAAAAGGACCCATATCTTATAACATATGAAGACAGAATACAGACAGGTGGATAACATTCGAGTGTAGTAACGATAGGTTAACAATTCTATTTGAACTGTTCTATTTCATTTACATATTTTTCTTAAGAAAGTGAATAATGGACAATGCAACGTCAATTTGGTTAACTTGAAAACACTCAACATACCGGAGATGACAAGTGTAATTAAAATTGTTATGTGCACAATGTATTGATATACTAAAATTTCCATCATTTGTATCATTGCTCTACCCATCATAGTTGCATCTGCATCTGTGCATATTTAGGCATTATGTGCGTGTTACTAATATACATGCCATACCTGCCATACCGACATCCAATTTTTTCCAAGTTCTTAATGTATTTGTATCATATCGTACATGTAACCCGTCGGTACATGTAACCCGTCCATGTTCAAGGTTCACAATCAAGGTGGTGTAATCAGGGTGGCCTCAATTTTGAGATATTGTCCCTCATAACTAGCTAAAATCCATGTTAGTGTTATCAATGCGTGATGCGAAATGCATGGTGCAAAGTCCCTTTACGAGCACAAGCGCAAGTCCCAATGTGATGTGCACTTCCGAGTGAAGTGAGGCGTACACCGCAAACATAGTTTTTCAAGATAGATACTTAAGCATGTATTCACATAAAAAATATGTCAAGGTAAATAATATCTACTGCCGAATTGCAAAATAAGGTCAGAACGCTGACTGACACACCCCATATAGTGTAGTAAAGTTCATAATTTTTCAAATAAAAAGTCAAATCAGACTGATATTGAAGCAAAATCAAATAGCAAACCAGAGTGAGTTAGTTTTCTCAATCTGTGCCTAGTAGTTTTTTTTTTCTTTTTTGGATATTGGTTATTGGGTATAAAGATCTGATTGAAGTTTTTAAAAACAAATATACGAGGCTTCACATGCACCTTGTGCGAAGCGCCCTCGCGTAGGCACTTGCGAGGCACAAAAAGGCGCTGCTGCATCAAATGTGGGGAGCTTTACCGTCACCCAGCATTGCAGGGCCATGAGGCGCAATGAGTCGTGTGCTTTTGATAACACTAATCCATGCTCAGCAATTGGAAACTAAAAGGAATAGTAAAACAAGAGCCTAAAAAATAAATAACAATAGACAACTTCTCCTAAAATCGAAGTAACGCCAACGTTCAGAAAAAATTTCCAGACCATTTTCCTTTCTCGCTAAGAAAAGTAGAACTTTATCTGAACCTCACAACAGTCTAATCATGGTCTATCATAGAAGAAAAGGTCATAACATACTCGGTAAACAAAAATGATAAGCCATGAAACAATCCGGAACTGAGAAATGTCAAATAAGAGGCAGAAGAAAAAACTAACAATTTTGTAAAAAGATTGCCACATAAGATTCCAAAATGCATTAGACACACACCAAATTAAAGAGCATAGAATCTTACCGAAACTAGGTTATCATAGACACCAAGGTCATATGGATGTCTATAAATATTTCCAACTTTTTCTGCCAACCACATGGCCCTCACTCCTTCATGATACTGCAGAACACATCAGCACCTTGTGAGGAATAGAGATATATTAGGTCATAGGAAACAAACTACTCACAGAATTTTCAGACCTCTATAGTTGTCTTATTATGCAAGATCAGATAGATATGCCAACCCAAAAGAACACTTAACGCCAATGTAAGGGGAATAAGCAAAACACCACAAATAATCTGTCAAGTTAATCACTGATGTTAAAAAGTGGCAAAGCAATGTGAGGCATGAGGCATTAAAAGTTGCTTACATATGATGTCCTAAAAGAGCCTCCATTCTGCTGTTGATCCTTGTGCATATCATGAACAACACTGCCAAAGAGAAGAACCTGAAAAGGAGATAATTAGCCCACCTATCAATGTAACAATCATCTACATGAGTAATTAAAGGGGAACTGTGAATACAACCATAGAGTGAATGCAGGCAATCACAGCATACAACACAAAAACTAAGAAAACTTTGTAATTTGCATGCCCAACACAATTATTTATCCAGACACAGTGATGGTCCTGCAGGCATTACAAGGTAATGTTAGAAAGCGACAAAAGGTTTATTAATCAACAAGACAACTGAGACATGATACATACCATCCTCAGAACACACCTTTTGCAAACACGACAATGGTGCGCACGAGGAGGTTTATAATGAGAGCACTTTTGACAATATCTCAAGTCTCCACCCTGCAATGCAATTAAACTCAAGACGGTTAAATAAGAGTACTCTGGGTAAAATGCTTTCAGGATATTTGCCCTGAACTAAGCAAACAAATGCAACAATTAAATTGACACTAGATGACCAAACTTCTCACTGATTATGCATTTTAGTCAAGTTGCCTAACTCAAAGTTCAGTTCTTAACAAACCCTCACATAAGACGTTGCGCATCAAGATTCTAATTTTACAAAGCACATAGCATTACTCTGCAAGTGGCTCCTCACATCATCAGATCATACTTTGAAGAAGCTCGCAGAATATAATAAAAAATAAATATGAATACTAATAATGGTTAAATCCGCAAGTTGGAGATATAGCTCGTCTATTAATCCTACCAAGTACACCAATGACTGTCATTCCATTTTAAAGGCCAATATAATCATGGTATTTCTAATATAGTATCCTCAGGCAGTTCCATGCAAGAAAATTTAACATAACTAGGAAGTTGCAATAAAGTAACAACTACTCAAGATCCAGGCAGTGATGACTCCCCATTCAAAATATGACCCACATATGATTTGTTAGGAAGGAGATGATATATAGATGGTATCCACTTCAACAGGAAATGATAAACGATGGTATCCTCCTGCTCATGAAATGAGCTAGATCTATTTGTTATGAGCTATGATTTGGGCAGCATGGCTCAGGAGTTTATTGAAAACGAGCATACAAGTGTCAGAAACGTGACTTTATTGGAAGTTAGACACAGAGACATGTTATGTTGGTGTCATGCCCAAGGTCTCGTCACACTGTCATTTTAACTCTAAGAAATAAATATACATTAAGTTGATACAATTTGACAAGGACAATAACAAGGCACCAACTTTGGAAAATAAACAAGAACACCATATGTGAGACGCTCTAGCGGCATGCAGTCACACATGCAAAAGTGTACAAAAGAAATCAGTTAATTCATTAATTAAAAGAGAAAACAAAACATGATAAAGAACTATATTAACAATTACAATGCACAACAACACTATCATTCAAGAATCATGTTAACTTAGTCTTTAAACAACAATTGCATCAATACCCCAGAGGTATATGTGACATAATCTCCAACCCAAACACATAATATCTCTTTTTAATTTTTAGGAAATGTAGAAAGTTGTCTCTGATAAAAGAATGAACAATAATGTTTTCTTCACTTCTAAGTTTCGGATCAAACCTTATTTATACAAGGGCAACGTTTCCAATGAAGGAAAAAAAAAAGACACCAACTCCTGCCCCAAAAGAAAAATAAATAAATAAATAAATTCTACATAAACCATAAATAAGCAATCAAACATTCCTAATATATTGGTATAATGAATATACATCAATCAAGACCCCAACTATGTGGTCAAACATAATTAATATCATGGTATACCAAACCCCAGCAATTCATTGGTTATTACTTTTTACAAATTGGATGTTTAAGAACGCGTTAGGCGCTTCTAAACATTGGACCAAGGTTACAGATAGCGGATAGCGTTGCACCGCAGGGAGGCACCACTAAGGCTATTTGGGGCTATAGCAGCAAAATAGCGGCAAAAAAGACAAAGTCAAATAGCAGTCCAATTTATGTATATACAAATATTAAAAAAAAGAAAGTTAAAAAAATCTAAAAATTACACATGCATATTTAATGATTTATAGAGATCCTAAGCATAAAATGGATGCGTAACAATCACATAATATCAATAAAAGTACTGTACAGAATGAAAAAACATATATGTTTATCAAAAAGACTATTATTTGTCCCATTCTTTCAACTTTCAAGTCTCTAATAGAAAAATTCTCAATAATAGAAAAATATTTATTACTAGCAACATAATTGTATTAACTATATGAAACTTGACATAAAAGCGAAATCTTCAAGAATATATAAATGACCACTATTTATCGCTATTTGCTGCTAGGTCACGCTTTCGAGCGCTTTGACGAGTGAAAAGCACTCACACGTGCTATTGTTCACCGCAATCAATAACATCATAGTGGTGGGCGCCACTACCGCTATTTGCACCGCTATCGAACGCTATTTACAACAATGCATTGGACCTAGCGCTCAACACTCAAGCGAGCACTTAAGTGGCACCTAGGCCTTTAAATTTTTTTTTTTTTATGCAGCGACATTTTCCACCGCAATCAGAGGCATGAGATTTTTAACTATATAAGCAAATGGAATGGTTGAGTGATATCAAGAGAGGAATGATTTTACCCAAAGATTCAAAATTCTATCCTCATTGTTTTATATAAAAGAAGGTTTTGGATATTAAGTTTTGAACTAATCCATTTTCATCATACATTTTTCTTTCCCATTACTATGCTTAAGCAGGAACACAGATTTTTATGCGGTGCATTCCACTTTAAGTGGCCCATGCTTGCTAGGCACTCCTAAGGCGGGCCAAGTACTGCTTAAGTCTAGGTGGGCCCCCAGACCGCATTTTAAACAATGAGTTGGAACATAAATATTAACAAAAGCTAGATTGAAGAAATAGTGGACGAGATAGAGCCAAAGTTGGAGTAACTGGATGAGATGGTGAAAGACTTTCCAGAGGGTGTTAGTAGCAAGCAGGAGCTCAATGGAAGAGGCTAGCAATTGCGTGAAACATCACATCAACCTAGACCAAAAGAGTGGTGAATCTTAAGGATTTCGCTTAGTGGAAGATCAAACTGGTACAGGACTATCTATGACGATGTGATGAAGTTGCTAAAGATAGCGACGTTAACTGTGTCTCTTGTCCACAGTTCAAGCACTAAATGATTGCTCTACTTGCCAAGATAAAAAAACATAAGCGCTTAATAAGCAACTGATTAACAATATTAATTGCCTTTGAATTCTCAACTATTCATTTAGCTTATTTTGATACATCTAATTTAGGGATTTTACATCTTTATGCCCCTAAAGCAAGAAGTCAAGTTCATGACCTTTAATACAAAATATTATTTGGTACAAAAATGCAAATTTTAATGCAACACGGGTACCAAGTGTTAGAAACACAACTCTCCAACATCCTCGTCCTTCAACCCCAACACCAAGCTCCAATGTCACAAATTCCATAATAACCACGCTACCATTGATTGAACCTATCATTATACCAAAATCATCATCCTTATCAACTGCAGTTGATGGAAACTGGTCACTGACATGATAGCGGTAAGTACATTGGCCAGGTTGGCAAATTGACTCCTGCACATGATCGTGATGTGTCTCATCATTTGGATGTATGCAGGGGAATGTCAAAGAGGAAGAAGCAGCACCAGTTGATCGTGTGACAGCAAGGGTGGATTGACGGACATTTTCGAAATAATTTCTATAAAAAATTGTTTCAAACTAACCAATGGAGATTACTTCCAAGTGTATAAACTTAGTGAATGGTTTCCAGTCTATCTATTTATTATGTCATTGTATGTGTTTAAGTTCAACACTTCTTTGCTGTAGTTATCGGTGCATGTAATGGAATTCAAGAATGTTTTGCAAATATTGATAAGTAAACTTAGACAACTTCCACAATAAAGATATTACAATGATAACTCATAACCATATATGGCCAACAAAATAGAATCCCAAACTTTAACAAAATGTATCTTTTCCTTTATATTATTTTGGTATAAAATAATAAACTGCCAACTTTGGAAGGATACATAGCTTCTCTCAAACCATGGACACTAGGAAGTACATTAAACATTTAAGAAGTTCTTATATATACAGTACTATGGAATGCCACAATTCCATATATATGTGTAACATCCAGCATACATCATCTTATTCAATGCCTAAATTGTTATCAGCCCTTCATGAGAAGTAACATTTCTGTTATTGCATGGAAAGAGATGTACAACCGACAAATTTTAAAGGATATCAGTTACTCAACCAAAAGCAGTAAAAAACGAAGTTTACTATAGGACCAAGCATGTAATTTACTCCCCAGATTCCTAGAACGGCTTTCTCCTGCTATTACATGAGCACAAAATAAAACACATAATATCATAATATGTAATTTACTATGCACGCAAAAAAAAAAGTTAATATCATTTGTATACATAAATGTTTTGACTTTGGCAAGCTCCTTACTAAATTGCATGCCTACTAATAAGAGAAAAACAACCATCGCACTCCTGCATGGCACTATTAACGTGATTGTAAATATGTACGCATTATATTACATAGGATAGGACTATAACAGGTCAACGTTTATTGCAAGTTTCACACCTCACGAACAAGCAAATAAAACATGATTCTGCATTACATTAAGTTCATTTCTAAGGGTTCCTCCCTGAAATGCCTCGTGCACGTCAATTTCTGAGGGATTCTCCTGCACGGCATTATAAATGGGTTTATAAAAGAACCACACAATGTGCGAGTAGATCAAACATGAGCAAGTAAATTTTCTTCTAGGAATGTATGTGGAAAATTTTGAGTATCATCGCTCATGGTTGATAACAAGTCACAAACACTCACAATCAAGCAACGAACAAGCAAAGTAGAATCCTACATCACATTAAGCTCATTTCACAGAAAGCCCCCATCAAATGCACCATGCATGTAAAATTTCAAGCGCATCTCAAGTTATTCTAACACCTATTCCTCAAAGAGTCAAACTTTTTCACTCCTCAGTATAACACAGCAACCAAATCAAACAGACCTCCCATCCAACCGAACAAACACACATCCCAATTCCGGTAAACCCCCCCTATAATACCAAATCAGGACACAGAAAAACCACCAAACAATACCTTCCTCTTGATCTCATGCACTGGACTCGAAGTATCCTCGATATCCGGCACGAACGAGCTCGGAACGCTCCCAGGATCCCTGACCACCGCAATCCCATACGTCGCCACGGGACACCGCCCGCCACCGCGTGAACACCGCGCCGCTTCCGCCAGCCCCGTCGCCGGTCCTCAGCCCTAGCCAACATCAATTGACGACGAACACCCGTGGCGTACTACAGGTACCCGATCCCGCCATCACGGGACGTATGATCCGGAGGCGACCATCGACGTAGCCTCCTGGTGCGCCTCCGCCGCCCCATCTGAAACTCGAGACCGGCGGCGGATCTAGGGTAGGGTTTGGCTGAGGTCTCTTCGAGGTAGATTTGGAGCATGACAAGGTGGGGACTTTATATAAGCGGTTGTCTGAGAGGGCAGAGGCACAAACGAGGGGCTGTCGGCTAACGACATGCCGCCCGCACGGTTCTGGCACTGGGCGCGAGGCGAGGGGAGGAGGGGAGGGAGGTGGAGGCTTCTGGTGGCATTTTGGTTAATATTAAGTTGGCTGGTTGCTTGTGGGCGTGGCGACTGGGGTTGGGAGTGGGGTCCACTTTTGGACAATGGGGACCGTAACGGGTGCGGGTGCGGGTGCTTTCTAGAAGGGATTTTTGTTAAAAAAATAAAATTGGGCTGGGCTTTGAGCTCGGTACTTTGTATTAGGTCCTATTGGTTGCTTAGTATGGAAACTAAGTTAGATTCAAAAGTAATAGGATCAATTTTATTTTTCAATTTTTTTCACAGCAAAGGTTATTTTCTTCCACGCAGGATAAGCATCCAAATTCAATGATATTTACGCGCTGGTAACAACCAAACCCCTCCTTTTAGAAACTTGAGAAAAGTACATGCACCTGTTAAGAGTATCTACTTATGGATTATGAACAACATAACCAAATCATCTTGAGAATCAAAAGCGAAATGCCCATATTTTAACTATGGAGCTTCAAGACAAAAATAGATCATGATGTAGCATTACAAAGTGCAAAATACCCTTAAAAGTGATTTCCTCACTTCCAAATGCAATCCAATGTTATTAACACAGCACTAACAGCTCCTTTTTGATGTTAAACCAAAATTGAGGTGCTTACATTCTACAACACGAACTTGTATTTGGTTCCAAATGCAACCAAACAGACTGAGTATTTTGCTAGCAAACTCTCAACTTTGCTTGCGTGAAGCGAAGACTAAATTCAGGCCCAGCTTTGCTCAGAAACACATTAATAATACGTCAAAGAGATATTAATTCTGTCAAGTTCAATGATCCAAGAGTTGATATCCGACTCCCACGATATCTTTTTCCATAAAATACCATCTAGAGTTCAGAAGCTTAGACATGATTCCTTCATTTTCTTGCTAAATTCAGTTTGGTCTGCGCATACAAATGGGGCATGTTCCTTTTTCGCTGCAACCATGGAAAGATGCAGCTTGCACGGAACTGTAAAAAAAATAATAATAATAATAATTAGATAATCCAGGCACACAGAACAAACAAACTCAGCAACTTGTAAATTCTTATACTCCAGGCAAACACTGCATGTCAATTCATTTTCTCCAAATTCACTTCCATCTATTTTAGTACAGTCTTCCAACTTCTGGAGAACAAAGACCAGAGAATCTCATAAGCATAATAGTAAAAGGAAAAAAAAACTGTGAGACCAAGACTAAATTAGAAACAGAAAAGAAGTTACTCGATCAACAAAAAATTAAAAAAAAACAATAGAAATCTCTGTGAAGAAATATAAACTTGCATTGCGCATAAAAAAGTTCTTAGTCTGAGAACAAACCTTCATAGGAAAAAAACATAATTTATATTGAATAGCAACAAGATGAACAACAGTAATATTTTCCATCAAGATATGTAAAAAATGGCATGAGTTAACATTTCACATTCTAATACATCTCATAGATATATACATGTCTTATACACGAGGGATGAACCATAGTTATGGGAATAACATTACAAATATTTCTAAACAAAAAGATAATCGTTAGGAGCATTAGGAAGCTTTTTTCACTATAAAATGTATTAAAGCATAGAACTAAGGGCAAAGTGACCTTTCCTAATTAAAATTGTAAAAGGAGGAGAGTAATCATACTTGAGTTTGTGAGGGTGTTTTATTGTTTTTTTATTAGTTTATTTATATTTTATTATTATTTATTATTATATAATACATTGTTAACATATTAAATACTAGTATTTACTATGTTATTATATTGTTATATAAGATATTTTATTTATTATATTTTTATATTATTTAATAAATATTACTAATATATTAGATTAACTATAGTATAGTATAGTATAATAATAAGCATGTTGATAATAACTTTATATTAATTATATTTAATATATTATGTTAGATATTATATTAACACATTCTAAAACTCAAAACCAAATCACCAAACTTAAAACACATTTTAGGTGTTTTGAAATAAGTGTTGTGTTTTTGGATTGAGGATGATTTAGCTCAAAAAACACAATGGCTTCCAACCGCATGGTGTTTGTTTTTGGCAAAAAAATCATGGAAATAAGTAAAACACCATGGTATCCAAACGGAGCCTAAAGAGCTAACATAACAAGCAAGAGTGCGTCCCTGAGGGATGAACTCAGTCAATCTCCTCTCGAATCGGCTTCACTGATCCCAAGAAAAGAATTCATGGTTGCAAGATGAATGATACTGATTGTTTGATGTCCTTGCTACAAGCAGAAACTTTGCAAACCATGCAGGAACGTAAGGAATGCTAATTAACTAATCAAATAAAATTATACGCTTAATGAATATATTATGTATAGCAAGATTCAAACTTTTAAAAGAAAAAAGTTTTAGCAGAACAGCCAGCCAGTAAGATATCAAAGAAACAATTTCGTAAAGCCGGAAATCTAATTGAATTTCTGATGGGCATTTCGATTAAACAGCTAGCTCACAACTTCTAAGCAAACAAATGAGCAGAGAACTTACCAAATAACCAACCCAAAATCAGTAAATGTAACGGAACAGTTCTCTCCCTCCTTTCTGAGCTTCAGTAAACCAATGAATGTAATTGAACTTCACCGAGGAATTTTATCAAACAGTTAGCTCGCAATATCTAAGAAACACAATTGGGCAGAAAAACACTTACCCAAATAATCAAACCCAGGATCCCTCCCTCGACCTCTGAGAGAGAGAGAGAGAGAGAGAGAGAGAGAGAGAGAAAGAGAGTTGTTGTCGTCATCGTAGAAGAGACGCCACGAGTCGGTGTTGGCAACGCCAGCGGTCGATGAAGACATCGCTACGCGACGAGCAGAGCAAAGCGTCAAATTCCTTCGGTTACAAATGACGACAATGGGAGATTTTAATATGAGCCAACTTTTAGTCCCACATCGGCCAAGAAAAGAAAGCAAGAGATTATCAGCTGAGGATCTGGGCTTCGGGGGGCCAAGGGCAAGCTTAATGGGCCTGATTATTAGTATTAACTGTTTTTCAACCGAGCTAAATAATCACATGATAGCGTTGAGGATGAGTAGGCCAATGAGAAACTAAAGTTAGTACATTGCCATAACCATAAGCTAAACATATATGTGCATTAATACTAGAAAGATGGCAACCTTCGTTCAAATGTTTAGACAACGAAACTACAAGAAAATGTTTTACACGCTTGATATCCAAATTCAAAAAAGTCTTAACACTCAAAAAAAGTTGGTGCGCACAAAATACATAATTTCTTGCACCACTCCACCTGCGATATACGCTCCCTCTTGTCTTATGCTCTTGACGAAAGCAGCTTTCATGAAACTGTGAAAAAAAGAGTCACAGATCAGTAAGCGATGGCAATGACGAGAAAAAAAATCTCGAGGAAAATACAACGAAAATATGCATTTGTACGAATCAGTGGGTACATGAATGCTCAACAAACTAAGAATTATATGCCCGTATAATTTCTAGAATTCCAAGCAGAGTTAATGTTGCTTGACAAATGAGCATAAAGTAGACAAATATTGAATTAGGTTCAGCTTCATTGAGTAGGTAAATCTACTAATACAACTATACAACACATTTGAACATTAGAGGTGAACGAAAAATTATCAGATTTATATGGATAACACCATAAAATTTCTCATGCAAATCTCTGCTCCTTTCAAGCTACGCAGGGGACAGTATGTAGCATTCATATATGGCTTGAAGGGAATATAGTGTACCAAAAGCTAAGTAAATGAACAATATCCCTTTACTAAGGTCGAGAGAAGAAACCACCTTGCTTCGAACGACACCAGAAACTCTTTTCATGAATCATGAAGATCCATCACTGCAGAAAAAGGAAAATCTAATAAAAAAAATCCACAAACTAAACAAACTTTTTCTCAATTGAAACTTATGCAAAAATTTGTAAGAATATACAAAATTTATCTCAGGCTGCAGATTTCCAGTTAGTAAAACAAGTTTAGTAACAGCTTGTTACCTATGTGGTGATCTCTGTTACCATTAAGAGCTCTAATATCTTCATCGGTCATGGTTGAATCACTCGCGGTTGAAGCACGTGGCGTTATATCATCGTCCAATGCTCTCAATGCATCATAATCTGCAGAAGAATTTTGGAAACTGAAGAAATTCACACACGCGAAACTTCTGACTCTGGCTGAATAACCAAGAACAAAGGAAAGAACAGAAGAAAAAGAAAGTCATTATCAGTAAATTCATCTAGTGTGTATTAAAATAGAGGGTAGATTACAAGAAACCCTCTCAATCTATGCCCCATTTTTCAAGAAACCTCCACATCTAAGAAGTTCAGCAAATAAAAATCCTCATCTGCATTGGTTCGTTTATGTAGAACAAACATCTGCATTCAGAATCTAGGTTAATGGTTAAAAACATAGATCTTTATTTTGTCTGGAAGCTAACTTTCTTCTCTATTTTCTTCCTGTCAACTCTCAAAATCTATGAGTTTTTAACTGCAGATGTCAAAGTGCAACATCTACTCAGATGTTTGAAGAATAAAACTCCAATATAAAACTAAAGGTTTCATTAATGCTCAACTTTAAGATGAGTAGGTTTCTTGAACAACAGGATACAGATGAAGGGGGTTCTTGTAATTTACCCTATAAGTAATCTATACGAGAGGAAACATAATAGTATTTCTTAAATCTATTGATTTCAAAGCACACATAAAAGCATAAGAATTGAAGTAAAACATAGTCATAATAAAAATACTACCGCGATAGTCAAAATCTCGATCAAGAAGAGCAAGCTGAATCCTAACATCAGATAGCTGTGTTCTTGTTGCAAAGGCTGGCACAAGAACCCTCTGTTCAATGTTATGCCTTCTCGGGCTATTATCAGCTTCTCTTTGATGCTGCTGCCATCTAGGCCACATCAAAAGGCTGAAGGCAATCAAACAGACGATCACCAACACAACAAGCTACAAGAATAAGAAGAAACAATCAGATGTTAAAAAGAAGGGAAATTTCACAAAACTACAAAGCTGTCATAGATTTTTATTATTATAGAAAACTAACAAGAACTTTCAAAATTGTAGAAAAATATCATTAACTATTGAAAATAATTGCCTACAAATTCAATAAAAGCAATATAGAAATGTATAAAGTAAATATGGGCCAATTGTTCAACAAGGGCAAGTGCTTACTCTAACTGCCGTTAGGCATGGTAGTTTAGTGAAAGATGTTTATGGCAATTCTCTGATAAAAAAGGTATGGTAATTATGTGCAAAACATCGAATTTGTGGTAGATTTGTGAAATCTACAAAACAAGAAATCGGCTCTAGAAAATTCTATAGTACTTATCAACTACAGTAGAAAATTCAAACTCAAGTGATAAAAAATACCAGCATATTTGGCCTAAACTGCTCCGTGTTCAATATCATGAACAGAAGAAAAACTGCACAATGATAAGCACACATGACATTAGATACCATCAAATTACTTTGAAAAGTTAAAAAAATGGTAAAAAATTGCATACCGATAATAGCGAAATAGCACAAAGCTGATCTTCTATCAGGTATGAGCTCAGAAAATTGGCGTTCAAGTTCTTCTTCACTTCCACAAAGGAATGCGCTCATATTGGTAAGGAGTTGAGATTCTTTAACGCATGCAACAACGAAAGAGAAGACAATTCAGGAAAAAAATTGCAAGAAATTTTTTGAATGAATTAGGAATATGAAACCAGTGGACAGAAAGTCAAGCAATTATACAAAAAAAGGCAAGCATGAGATTGACGTACAAAATAAAATAGAATAAAAGGCACTAATTTATAAGGAAAAAAATATTACAGAAAGAAATTTGATAACTTTTTGCTTCATCGCGCAAAATTTTTTTAGTTCTATCAGCATTTCTACAAAGAATTAAAGATTAAAACTCTAAAACAGCGATTGCCAATTTGAAAAAGGCATACTAGGAGGAAGGAAATACCTGAGATTGAGGACTGGTGAGAGCTTGATAGCAAAAGGGGGATATAAGAAAGAAGCTTGAATTGTTTGAGAATGGAGAAGAGCATTTAAAGAGGAGGAAGAGAAAAAAAAAACATGCCACCAGTCACTGTTAGCAATGCCACCGGTCGATACCTCCATTGCTACGCGTTGCCCAGGCAGGGCTCTTTCGGTTACGAATATAGACAAGAATTTTGTCCTCGCTTAGTGTCAAAGACATAATAAAGTTCTTGTTGTGGATTGAAATTTGCGAGCCATAGTAGCTGGGCAAGTAAATAGGATGGTATTTTGGGCCAGGTTTCTCTCTTCATGCAAGTTGCAGCATGGCATGTATGTCATATATAAGCTTATCTCTACATTCTAAGCCATCTCTCATTAAATCCTCTGCCCATTTCCATCTCCTATAGGTGGAGTCAAAGAGAAAACCAAATAAGCATTATGCATGATAACATTTTCTTCAAGGTGGAAAGCCTGTTAAGGTTTCGACAAAATGTATGTATGTATGTATGTATGTATGTAGGTATGTATGTAGACACACACGCACACACATGCACATATATGTATATGTATATATAAAGGACCTTTGGCAGTTTCTCAAAAGAGTATAAAGTAAAGTAACATGGAGGATTAGTAGAAATGTGGATTAATCGGGAGAGCTTACAACTTAGAAAAGTGGATAAAGTGGATAAGCTACTAATTATATGGTTGTGGTTGGTATGTGTGCAAAATTAAGTAAGTAGAGCTGAATTATAGGTACTATATTTTGATGCAGAACATTTTATGGCATGTTCCCATTAGCTTCTTTCTTTCAAATCAACCAAAGGATCGCAGTGCATTTACATATTCGTATCTTCCTTGTTGCCACACTGATGGATCAATGCATTCTGCATGGAATTGCCGAAGTAAAACGCGATCAGATCTTTAGAAGGTAATATTGACAAAATTAATAGACACTTCAAAGAATAGAAAATAGTATAATAATCACACATTGATAAAATCAATTACTTGAAACTTTGGGCGCAAAACAAGTGTACAAAACTTTCCCCTTCCATTAAGTTAGAAGCCAAAGGTGCATACTCAAGCACTTGGAGCTAAGAAGGAATTAGTAGGGTATCCAGCACAAATATGCTAAAATAACATAATTTTCATATCATCCTATAATACTGGATGCCAAAGCTTAACCTCTGAAGCCAATCATTATGATGGCGTTATTCAGGCAAAATATGGATATACCTTGATGAATATCATCATTACAAAAAGGAATTCGGGAACAAAGAAAAACCTAATAAAGATAAGTAGCATAATTGGAACCAGGCAGGTCACACTTATGGGTGATCTCATAAATCCTTTAGCAGTTATTATTTTTCAAGGGAAAGTATGGTCTACTAAAATACTCACTTGAACTTTATCTTACAAAGTGCAGATAAGCTGCCCAATAAAGTGCCATGTAAAATTGAAAACCAAGCTTTACATGAATGCTAAGACCACAAACACAATAGAAAATATTTGAACTTTCAATATCCAGTCAGTTACCTAATTAAGAACGAAAGCATCATGAATATATTTTCTTATATGGCGCAATGCTTGTACACTGAATAAACAATGAAATGTGATCTATGGGCTTTCCATAACTCTATCTAATTACCATAAGCTCATAGTACTGAAAATTAGTTCTAAATAGATTAATGAATGATGGACCACCAAAATAGTAGACACAAAGAATGCTGCATGTTCTAGCATTCTGTTTAGATAAAAATCATGAAGATCATTCAAATGCTATCTATCTTTGATGAGAATGGTTGGCTCAAATGGAATATGACGTACGTGTCTGAGACTTGAGAAATCTTCCCCCTAATTGGCTAGCATAGCATTGTTATGAGCATCAAGAATAATATCAGCATACTATTTAGTTAACAACTGAAATGTGAAATTACTAAATTGGTAATTGTTTAAAAATAATCAAGCTAAATGGGAAGAACAAAGTACCCCAACACAGGTGAATAAAGATAAATATGCAAAATATTAGACAGAAATCGTCAAGAAAAATCTCACCTTACTCAGTTACTCATTAAGTACATGATTACGCAGCCAGCGTTGAGACATTCTTCATTTCTTCTAATCCACGCTCGTGGTTGCAAACTACAAGAAGATTAAATCATACAAAAAAAAAGAATAAGTAAAGATAATACTTGTAAAGTTGTAAGAGACATTTCAACAAACAGCTAACCTTGAAGGACCCAATCCATGAGACTGGTCATTAAGCTTGAATCTTCCATGCTCGAATATTCTTCTTCTTAAGTTTGAATCTTTTTTATTGAAGCTAGAAGTACCACTGCTCTGCGCATAACGTGAAGCAAGAGGGAGTGGAGCTAATCGTGTCGTTGCCATTGTCGAAGAGAATGACAGCGAGAGAGATAACTAATTAACAAAGCAATTTAGTCCCACATCAACAAGAAGTCAGTAAGTTGAGAATCTGGGGCCGGAGCCTACATTGAAATGTTATGAGCCTACTTCTTACGACAACAAATCCTGGCGAAAACAACATGAAGTAAGCAAACAAAGAATTTAGAGTTTACTTCTTACCATAAACGTTGCATCCATTGCATTATTTCCATTACAGTGAACCAAAGGATCTTGTCGGAAATATGAACAAACCAAAAATTTCTGGTCAATTCCAAAATTTTCATTAATATGAGTTTAAAGTATGTACAATACAAATGCTGATACATCTCTACTTGATACTCAATTTCTAAAATTCGTACTAAGAATACATAAGAGTGTATCAATTTCGCTCGACATCAACGGTATGGTGCTCTTGAGTAGACGGACCTACTCGATATTTACAAGTAGGACACGTTCCTTCTTTCCTCAGCCACGGATCAACACAGTCCGCGTGGAACTGTCAAAAAAAAACAAGATATATGAGAGAGTATTGCAAATTCAACAATAGCCTCTGTCTCTACACATTTACCTTAGAATCAGTCTGCGGAAAAATGTTCAGGCATTTTATGTTTAGAATTCACGTGTGAGTATAGTTCCATATCAGAAAGAAGCACAAAGTTGATGAGCTCAATACCAATAACATTAATCGTATACATAGTATTGATGGTCACAAATACATATATATACCCTCATAATAGCAATATAACGATGAAAGTGTTAGCGAACTTCTCGGAAGAGAGGTCAGTACTAATAACGTCGGATAACAGTGAGGTGTGATGATCTTTATTTTTTGAACAAATGTGGTGACGAGTTCTAACCTGATGCAAGCAAGGCAAGCTTCTGATCAGTTGTCCCTTGACAAATCTTTCGAAGCAAATAATGCACGTGAAATCATTCATCTTCGATCTCTACAGAAAGAAAGAAAAAAATGAATGAATTATGATTTACCTGCAGAACAAATCAAGATGTCCCAAGGTGAAATGAAGCTTTGGTCCTGCTTTGGCTTACTTGTCTGTGTATATGAGATTGAACCATGAACCTTGGAGTACCTCTTCCCTCGCCTTTTGGGGGAGAATCAGGAACAGGATTTTCCTCATCCAGCGCCCTTAAATCTTCGTAATCTGTACATGTTTGATTCTATTTGATATATCCCTATCCTCGACGTTTGATATGGATTTGAGTATATGTTAAGAGGAAATCCATACCCAGATCATCGAAATCGCGCTCGGTCAAGGCGAGCTGAACCCTGAGCTCAGGCAACCGGTCTCTGTTCCTTGGGGTGTTGTCAGGGTCCAACTGAGCTTCCTCCGCCTCTTCTTCCTCGTCTCGGCGCAGCTTGCAGTGACCATACTTGGCTATAAACGCGGCAACTCCCAACACGAAGACGAAAACCCACTTCTGCAGTCATAAACGCACGCACGGTAACTAAACCCCCCAAAATTGCAACCTTAAAAAGCACAAATAATAACAATTCTACTAGACACAAGAAATTTAGCATTGCTGGGTAACATAAGTCAATGTTGGATCAAAATCATAATTGTTGTTGACCCTCGTCACAATTTCGGAAGATACGGTTGGTTGTTTACGGGGAGAATTGCAAGCAGAAGATGGGCGTTGACGACGACGAGGATCAAAGCCGCGACGGAGGCCAGGAAGCAGGCGAGGGTGCGCTTCTCGGGGAGGAGCTCGGCGCACCCGGCCTCGAGGTCTTCTCTGTTTCTTCCCAGCGCACGGCTCATCGATCGTCGCGAAATTGGGAGGAGAAATTCTCGAAGAGAGAGAGACTTGAGAGTTTTTTGTGCTGGGCGAGAGGAACAAGTGTTGCTTTTGCGCACGGGAGGTAGCGCCCGCGGTGATTTACGAATGAGGACAGAGCAGTGCGGGGAAAATTTTGTGTTGCTCCTCTCTTATGAATTTCTTTTTTGTTTCCTTAACATCGGATGTCAAGATGGCCGAGTTGGTCTAAGGCGCCAGTTTCAGGTACTGGTCCGAAAGGGCATGGGTTCGAATCCCATTCTTGACAATTTTTCCAGCGTTTTTTATTTATATTTTTTATTATAATAATCCTTGATTTTGTATGTGACCATGACTTCCAAAGAAATCATCATCTATACGTCGATCATTATCCAAACAAAACCTTGCTTATTATATCCATCGAAACCAGAACAAAACCGTGTCTGGGTCCGTCGGTCGCATCCACAACAAACCCCTGCTTATCCAAAAACCAATTTTGCTCTTGCATACGGCAAACGATAGACACCAATCCAAATTATTTTTAGATATGACAACGAACTCGCAAATTTTTCAATAGCGCACGTGCCTTCACATTTGATTCGAGGGGCATTTTAGTTTTTTCCTCCCCCGCTCTTTAGTAAAATGAGAAACAGTTTGAAAAGCACTTGATGGTTATGTACAAATTAATTCCCCTTAACAATAAGATATTTATCCATAGGCTTCAATGTCCATTCTTGAGTCGTGTTGCTAACAACAATTTAACAATGTTAACAAACAAGAGGACAGCATACATTTATCTTATCCCCCTTCATTTCAATCCCACCAGGGATGAAAAATTCAACATTAGAGACAAAAAAAAAAGAGATCAAACAGCACACCCTCTTTTCTCATTTTTCACTCAGCAATAAGACCAGTGAGGACTTCATTCAATTTATACACAATCTGAAACTTAATAGTCTTTATAATTTCTGTCTAATTGTATGAGTCTACAACTCCTCTCATCAACTGGGAATATCGGCGTGGAAATAAACAATAAATTACTTCAAAAAAATGAGAAAATAATAAATACTATAGAAAAGGCGAAGAAATTAGAATGTTTTATTTTATTTCTCATCAAGGTGGCTAGATTCTGACGCCAGTCCATGTCTCTGGCTTCTGTCAGTGGGTAATGAATAGCTTCGGCGCTCCTTTCCTCCAGGCTTGGAGGATGCATTTCCATACCAAATCATTCCTACGACAGCCAAGATCATGCCAACGACTACATGGATATTCATGCCTGCCCTCCCAAACAAGAAGAACCCTAGAACGAGGACAAGGATGGTCTTCATGTGACCAAGGACTTGGAAAGAAACGGCAGTGAATCTGCCGATGCAGATGAATTGACTAAGGTTGGTTCCGATAGCTATGATGCATGATAGTAGAATGAAGAACTGCAGAACAGAAAGCCAATGTATGTTAGTGAGAAAAAACTGGAAGTTCTAGTTAGACAAAGAAAATACATAAAACATGTATTTCATGTAGAAATTTCCAAGGATAAATAACTTGCCACAGAGCCAAGCATATGGTAATTATGTAAATGCAGAAAATTGTGGTAATTATGAGAATAGCAAAGTTCCTTGAAGAGTCAAATTGTGGTAATTATGAGAATAGCAAAATTGTGGTAATTATGAGAATAGCCAAGCATATTAACATTGTAAATGCAGAAAATTGGCTAAATATAGAGAACAAGGAATACTGGAAGAGTCAAATAATCAATAAAATATGAGAATAGCAAAGTTCCTTGAAACTTACAACTGAAGTTACATTGTAGTCGAATTTGTCCACTCTTTGGTTAGTCAACCAGAAATCCAGAAAAGGCCCAAATATAAGAAGAGACGCTGCCTGGACTGGAGCAGTGTGGCCCAATAGACTAAACGAACTAAGTGAATACTTCCTTTGAAGAGAATGAACATACTGCATAAATAAGAATTAAAATGTTAGATATAGCACTCTATCTTCTTTCGAAGACCACATATCACTGTCAAGAAGACTAGCAGATACACATTATAAAATGAAAACATAAACAGACCTCTTAACAACATTTATAAGATGAACCAAGTTTCTACAACCCTGGAATATGTGTGATCATGGCATGTTAGAAAAGTTATTATTGATGGAAGAAATCCTAACTTCACTGTCAATAGAAGTGATTAAAAAAACTGATTTACTAAAGGAACTCCTAAAGGGACTATCCTGCTAGAACAAATTTACTTCGCCATTCCAGAGAGCTTGAAAATGTTGGGATACAATAGAAAAAAAAACACTGAGTTGCATTAAGGTGTATATACGGATTCAGAGAGTAAGAGTGCAAGTACAAGCACAAGAGGGAGATAGAAATAAAGAGCGAGAGCATTTGTTAATTACTTTAACTTATAGATAACTGCAAAGAAGTGACACAAACAAGATGCATATAAACTGCTCCGTGTGTTTAACTTACATATTGTTGCAAAGCAGTGCTCCAAACTGCTATTGCAGCTGCAATCAGACCTCTTGCATTGAGGCTTACATCAGTGACAGTGCATACTGCGACGCCTATAAGGACCACCAGTATGCTGAGCTTTGTGTCCCGGGAATAACGAATCTTATCGAACATAACTTCCAAAAGACACGATACTGGTATTATACACAACTTTGCTATCTGAATACAAAACCACAAGATGAATTTATTGATTTACCCATTAAAAATGTGGTGAAATTAAAAGAACACCTCTTGGCTGCAAATTACTGACCTGGTAAAATCCCACAGAATTCCACATCAAACTCACATTCATTCCAACAATTGACAAGTTTGCAAAGACGGCAAACTTCATAAGTTCAGGTAGTGGTAAATGGGAGGGCTGAATGTATCCGAACCATCTAAGTGCAGCAGTCATGACAGTTGTAGTGGCAAAATGAAGACCAGTTAGTGTTGTAGCTGCAGATAATAATGATGCATGATATGAGAACAGGAAATGAATCAAGGAATATAATCAGAGCATGATGAGACCTAACGCAAATAACTTGCAAAATGTATGTATATGAAATGTAATCAGTAAATCCCAAAGAAAGTTCACAACTGTATTAAAAAAAGAATTCGCACAGGAAATACCACTTCATGAATTTTTGCAATTTTCATATGTTGCTATTTGTCTGTGAACAGTATTTATGGGAAGAAACCCAAGATAGAAATCAGGAAGAAGATGAAAGAGACTGAACATTAACATAGACTATAAAGTGAATCAGTTATTGAAATAGAACACGGCAACTAAGAAGTAAATTAGGGATTACGCCAACAAGCCATTCAGCAAAATGAAATAGCAGGACGATGCAAAAAGATATAAACTGTAGTTACAGAATACAACATGCCAAGGTTCTAGCAATCAGTAGTCTCCTGTAAGACTAGAAAACTTCCAAATGTTCCAGCTCGATGCCCAACCAGTAACCTCTTAAGGCAATTTTCCATGATGAGAATTTATGGAGGATAATACTATAAACTACCATCACCTCAATAAAAGAGTTTTAGCAATCCAAAGGAGTGCCTAGAAGGTTATTCTTATAGGTGAAAATACAGAAATACCCTCATGTTTAGCATGATCGAATTGTCATATAAAAAATGCAATTACCAAATCAGAAAGTGGTCAGCCAAGAGTTGGAACCCAATTTTGTGGCCTGAACCATTCCTTGTTATACTATGAAAGGACAAAGACACAGAATTATCTCATTGTGGATTATTTTCTCTCTTCGAGTTTATGACTTATCTCTGTGTGTTGCTACACAAAATATTATATTTCAATCACAAAAATAGCCTCAAATCTCTCCCGGTTGCATCCCAATTCTTTAGGTCCATTAGCTACCAATCCCCTTCTGTGATTCAAAAAATCATGCGAACTCGACCAAGAGTCAAGCCACCAGTTTTCATCATCTTTACCATCTTGGCCTTTAAATGTCTTAGCTACAGAAATTACATACTGGGAACAATCACCGAAGACACGCATAAGAGAGCTCGTCTTAGAACCAAATATGCTAGTTGGCAAATAGAAATATTTAAACTTTTATGATCTTGCAGTTTATGCCAGTGCAACCAAGAGACAACTCCACAGCTCTCCCTGACTACAAAAAAGTTATGAAGAATGAGTGGAGGTGATTAGGAACTCTGGAATTGTATTAATATCAGAGGTACATTATAGGGCCAACAGGTAAGTACTGCAGTATACTGCTTCTCAAGGCCAGGTGGATTTACACATAATTTCATATAATTGACAACAACATGGTTTATAGGAATTGCTTTTCTTGTATATGTATTAGTTTGATAGCGACATTAAAGACTAGTGGCTTTTTCAACATACAGCAGCATTGTAAGGGAATTACATAAAGTGGGTATGCCAATATATCAAAATACTAAAACAAGCAGTAGAAATCTAACCATAGAGGAGGATACAAAACAGAGAAGTACATTCACCAAACTAACCTATATGAATCCAACATTAAGCAAAAGGATACCAAAGCATGACTGAGACTGAAATTTCATCTAGGCAAGCAGAGTGCAACCGTGTGAATACAAACATTGTACATAGAGATTAATTTGCTGAAGATAAATCAGAGAAACAAACTAAAGAACATGGCTTCCTAAGACAGCCATTTACTTTGGTATTCCTTCCTTCCGACAAAAGCATACTACTAAGGGAAAACTTAAGCAGGTTTCTCAAACAGGACTCAACTAGTCATTTCTATATAAGATGCAATATTATAGAATAACACATTAAGCAAATATCAATAGACATATAAAACAGCTAAGAACTTGAAGTTTACCGAAACTGAAGCCATATGTAGCCATTAAGGCTTTATTGACCATGATGATTCCAACAGACGTCACTACATTGAACAACCATGCAGCTGTATCCGCTGCTGCCTTCCTGTCTGCCTTGCTTGTAGGTGCCATTTCTTTTACTACAGTTTCCGAATTATCTTACAGATCTCCAGGATTTAGCTTCCATATGCAACGAAACTGCTAAAAAGATGACAAAAAGGTCAGACATGGTAATCATCTATGAAATAGTTTCCAATACTGATTAGAAGTATTATTGTCCAAATTGGAAAAATATTAGAAGTTAAGGAGAAGGGTTTTTCAAGGATTGGGGTTAGATGGTGTCATGTGGAGTCATGACCTTTGTTATCTTCCTTTTTTAGCTCCGTACTGCTCTACTCTTGTAATTTAGATGAAGAACAGTTTTCAAAGAGAGCTAGTCTGCATATGTTTTTTTGTCCGCATATAAGATTACATAGCTATAGGAGTATCGTTTTCAAAGAGAGCTAGTCTGCATATGTTTTTTTGTCCGCATATAAGATTACATAGCTATAGGAGTATCTTTTACTTTAAGATTAGTATCAAATATGTTTTTTTGTCCGCATATAAGATTACATAGCTATAGGAGTATCTTTTACTTTAAGATTAGTATCAAGAACTTGATTCAATTCTAAATAACATATAGCACTAAGAAATATAATCCTTGTCTTTAACACTGATTTATCTATCACCCGAGTCTTCAAATTTTTTTATACCTTGTTAATTTCTTAGTCATTACATCTTAGTATTTGATACACGTGGTTGGTACAACATAAACATAATAAATTTCAAAGCTTTCTCCTTCACTCTTCTTTATATTTGAGACATACTTGGTTTCCAATTTCGATTTTGTACGCGATCAGCATAAACCAAGTCAGGATCTCTAATTCATAATTGCAGAACAAATACATTAAAACAAAAAGGTAAAAAAGCTATAAAACAGTTAATCAGCTAATGAAACAATCAAAAACCCTAGCTAATTCTGCGGATCCAAAATCATTACAGGAAATTCATGAAATCAAGCAGCAAAACACTTACCAGAGACTTCAAATCAGCGCTGATTCCAGAGTCGCGGAGACGGCGGTAGGAGACGGCGGCGGCGGCGGCGGTGATCGGAGATGGGAGAAAAAGGTGGGATCTTTACAGAGAGAGAGGGAAGAGATCTGGATATTTTCACCTTCGTTTTTCCCCCTTTTTCTTTTTGCGGTTCGATTCAGTTTTAATCTCAGAATCTCACTTTCGCGGATTTCCAGCAGTAAAATCAGTTTTCCCTACTATTTTTTGGATTTGGATCCTCTATAGTATTAAAAAAAAATGGAGTGATCACGCATAATCATAACTATTAATTATCTAGTTTCTTGATTGTGATTTTTTTAGTGCAAATTAGGAATGGGTGCAATACATAAGGTATGATAAGTGTTAGATTTAGATTGTATCATAACTACCCTATTAAATAATTAACGATTGATATTAAAAGTAGTGGTCTCTCCACTACTTTTTTATAGTGAAGATGATCCAAATTCCTATTTTTTCCTCTTCTTTTTCTTTTTTCAATGGCTAAATAGCACTTAAATACCCTATAGTTTTACCTCTTTGGCACTTATATACCCTAACGTGTAATTCATAGCAAATATATACCCCAACATGTTCACGGTTAAAATTTTACGAACAGTATTAAAATTAAAGAGTGTTGACAAAGTTGCCCTCTCTAATATTAAACCCCTAACTGGTTTAAAAAAAAAACCAATAAAACATTAATTTTAGTTAATTTTACATCCATGCGCTATAAAAAGTATAAAATCTGGTATCTTTACAGAAAGTTTATAAACTATAAAAGTTGTATAATGGGAAAGGCATCTTAATGTATGCTATGAAATTAAAGGTCAATTATAATCTATGATTTGGAGTCAGAAGGCTAATAGATTTTAGTGTGATACTCGTTTAATTAATCTTTTACGTTTTTTTTAAGTAAGTAGCTAATCTTATTACCAAAGTAGCAAAAAACGCAACATCATATCATACTCCTTTTAAAAGCACGATTCTGAAAAAAAAAAATCTATGGTCAATATTACTCTTTCACAATATTTAATATTTTATTTATATCTTAATCTATTCTAATCATAATTATATCCTATCCTAATCTTACGTGAACTACCTATACCTTAACAGTTTAAAAAATATTAATATAATATTATAAAACATCTTTGAAGATAATAACTCATTTAAAAGCACGAGTTCGAAAAATTCTTTTTATGGTCAATATTACCATTTACTATTTTAAATATTTTATTTATATCTTAATATATTCTAATTATAATTATATCATATCATAATCCTACGTGAACTACTTATACCTTAACAATTTAAAAAAAATAATATTAATATAATATTACAAAACATCTTTAAGGATACTCCCTTTAAAAGCACGAGTTCAGAAAATTCTTTTTATGGTCAATATTACCCTTCACTATTTTAAATATTTTATTTATATCTTAATCTATTCTAATCATAATTATATCCTATTCTAATCCTTCGTGAACTACCTATACCTTAACAATTTTAAAAAAGTAATATTAATATAATATTACAAAACATCTTTAAGGTATTAATTTGTTAAGATAAAGAAATTATAAGTAACTAACATACTATCATATATAAAGTATTGCAAAAAAAAATTAAAAAATTTTAAAATTGCACAAAATACCCTGAAAAGTTCAAAATTATAAAACGCATCCCCATGTCTCAAAACTTAAAACAACAAATATGAAATCAAGAAATTACAGTAGTTTACGAAGAATTTAAGATTTATAGTTAACACCTCAATGTCTTAAAAATTATAGAAACACCCTCAAAAGTTTAAATTACGAACAAGCACCCTGAAACTCTAAAATTTTAAATTTTGCAAATAACATAGACGAATTAAAGGGATTACCATGATGCACCTGGAAATTTCTGATATTTCAAAACTTAAAACAACAAATATGAAATCAAGAAATTAACAACAGCCTCCGAAAAATTTAAAATTTTTAATTAACACCCTCAATGTCTCAAAAACTTATAAAAAATATAGAAACAACCTCCGAAAAATTATAGAAACAACTTCAAAAGTTCAAATTATAAAAAACCTCCCTAAATTTTTAAAATTTTAAAATTTACAAACAAAAAAAGATAAATTCAAGAGATTACCCTCAAGCACCTAAAATTTTAAACTTGGTCAAAATTAACGTCAAAGTTATAAAAATTATAAAAAACTCATTCAAAATTTAAAAAACACAAAAAACTCTAATATTTCAAAAGTTTATAACCACTACACATCAAATCTAGAAACTATTAGTAGGCCGTTGAAATTTAAAATTTTTAAAATTAATCTATAATTTTAATAATTGTAAAAAATACCCTCAAAATTTTAGAGTTACAAAAAATATCCTGATATTTAAAAAATTACCACCGACACAAGAAACATAGAAATTACAACTACTGAACTTAAAAGTAAATTTTTTTAAGAAAACACTCCCAAAACTTTAAAAAATACAACTCACACCTTCAAAGTTCAAAACCACAAAAAATGGCTGAAATTTTTAAAACTTGGCAAAGAAAAGTGTAATTGTTTGGTATTCTTTCATTTATATATATATATATATATATAATTGGTTTTTATCTTTATCTTTATTATGATTCCTCATCACGTTTGAAATGATTGACCATAATACTCATAGGATTTTTGGCAAACCCCCAGCCTTCAACGGGTTTGATTAGCCTTTACCGACTACCGTTTGAGTCGGGCTAGCATGCGGATTATCGGAATCCGTTCCGCATGTAACGTTGTGCTAAGGGAATGAACTCCCTTAGACTTCGTGCTATGATGTCGAATACATAGACTTCGCCATTGTTACGGGAATAGGCTACCCGGCGACACGTGTTAGGTGTTGACTTTAGGATTTTTGGCTAACCCCCAGCCTTCAACGGGTTTGATTAGCCTTTACCGACTACCGTTTGAGTCGGGCTAGCATGCGGATTATCGGAATCCGTTCCGCATGTAACGTTGTGCTAAGGGAATGAACTCCCTTAGACTTCGTGCTATGATGTCGAATACATAGACTTCGCCATTGTTACGGGAATAGGCTACCCGGCGACACGTGTTAGGTGTTGACTTTAGGATTTTTGGCTAACCCCCAGCCTTCAACGGGTTTGATTAGCCTTTACCGACTACCGTTTGAGTCGGGCTAGCATGCGGATTATCGGAATCCGTTCCGCATGTAACGTTGTGCTAAGGGAATGAACTCCCTTAGACTTCGTGCTATGATGTCGAATACATAGACTTCGCCATTGTTACGGGAATAGGCTACCCGGCGACACGTGTTAGGTGTTGACTTTATCCCTACTTAGGCTTCGGGATAAAATACCCCAGAATCGGACTCTGGTGTCTTTTTGTTCGGAAAAAGACTAAACCGGCGACGCGTGTTAGGCGTCGGCATATCCTTTCTTAGGATTCGGGATGAAATTCCCCATGCGTGTAAGGCATGGATTCTGGTGTTATTAATAACAACCTGTCACAATGTCGAATATGTGAACGGGTGTTCTTTTTAAACGGTTAAGAACTAACCGGCAGCGCGTGTCAGGCGCAGACTTATCCCTGCTTAGGATTCGGGATAAACTTCCTAGGATGAATCCTAGATTGATAAATTCTTGGAAAAGGTTGGTGTGGGAAAGGAAGAATTTTATATTCTATTTCCCGGTCTTCTTTTAGGGTGAAGGCGAACCCGAATACAAGGAAGGAAGAATTTTATATTCTATTCCTTGATTCTGGAAAGGAAGAATTTTATATTCTATTTCCAGTGCAAAAGAAACTAAGAGTGGGATCTCCACTCCGAGAATCTGGAAAATCTAGATAAACTTGCCTTTTATAGGATTGGTTATCTAAACTGAAAAAAAGAGTTCTTCGTTTATCGAAGTGAAACTTCAACTTCGGTTATAGCCATGGGAAGGCTTAACCGAAGAGAAAAGAATGGAGTTCTTTCATTTATCGAAAGGGAATTTCAACTTCGGTTATAACCATGGGAAGGCTTAACCGAAGAGAAAAGAGTGGAGTTCTTTCGTTTACCGAAAGGAGGCTCCGAACTGAAAGTGGACCTCTTGTTCATGGAAAGAGTCAAGAGGGCCAGATGGACATATTTGGTGGACCCACTGTCAATTGAAATTAATCAGTGAGGGATTTTGGTGGAGAAAATAATTTACAATCTGCATCTGACGATTGTTCATCGTCAAGATTGATTACAAAGGGTACAATGTCATTTAAAACAAAACCGCCATTGTAATCGAATCCGGCTTCAGAATCAGCTTCTTCTCCGCTGTCTGTGCCCTGGGCCGATGGTTCAGTATCGGATTCGTTACCATAAAGGAGAGAATCGGTGAAATAATTCTCATACCCTTTGAATGGTTGCTTATCCGCGACCACCGTCCTAACCTCATTGTCAGTGTCGACATACTTCAAGCACTGATGGAGAGTAGAGGGAATTATAACATTACTATGGATCCAAGGTCGACCTAATAGTAATTTGTACGAAGTCTCGGCATCAATCACATAGCACGTGACTTCTGTCTTCAAATCCCCCATTTGACACTTTTCTCAAGCTCTTCGAGATGCTTCTGATGCTGTTCTTCTGTCGTCATCTCTGTTGCGAGGGCGATCCGAAGAGATGGGATCTGAATTTCCAGCGGTAGCACAGCTTCACATCCGTATACCAGCGAATACGGGGTGGCGCCTGTAGGCGTGCGTATGGTGGTGCGATAAGCCCAAAGTGCTTCACCGAGTTTATCGTCTCAGTCTCGTTTATTGGTCTTCACAAGCTTTGACAGGATCTTAATGATCGTCTTGTTAAACGCCTCAGCTAATCCATTCGCAGCGGGATAATAAGCTGTTGACGAAACATCTTGAATTTTGAACTTGTCACAAAACCTGACGAAGGCGTTGCTTATGAACTGTGGACCATTGTCATGAATGATCCATCTCGGCACGCCGTGTCTGTATATGACATGATGCTTGATGAAATTGATGACGTTGTTCGTCTTCACTTCTCTAAGTGCAATTTCTTCAGCCCACTTTGAAAAGTAATCCGTGATTGCGAAGATAAACCGATTGCCTTTGACTGAAGGGGGAAAAATAGGACCGACAATGTCCATGCCCCATGTCTCAAATGTCCAAGACGTGGTTGACGTGTGTAAATGCTTTGGTGGTTGATGCATATAATTCGCATGTATTTGA